GACTAAACATTTTTTAACTTAATGCAAGGAATGCATTAAGATAAAATATGTTTAGGCTTTAGAACCACTTTAACCACTTACTCTCCAGAGGATTTACCCCCCTTCCTGACCATGCCATTTTTTGCATTACAGGGCTGCATTACTTTAACTGGAAATTGCGCAGTCATGCAACGCTGCACCCAAATTAAATTTACGTCCTTTTTTTTCCATTAATTGAGCTTTCTTTCAGTATTTGATCGCCTGTGCGTTTTTTATTTTTTGCACTATAAAAAAAAAAAGACAAACAATTTTGAGGAAAAAAACAATATTTCTGACTTTTTGCTATTAAACATGTCCAGTAAATATTTTTTTACATTTTGCCATAAATGTAGGCCAAAATGTATTCTGCTACATGTGTGTAAATTAATTGGTTTACGTGAAAGTTATAGCGTTTACAAATGGTGGTATATATACTGGGATTTTTTTTTTTACTATTAATGGCGGCAATCAACGACATATTGCAGGACTGTGGCGGGCATTCTGACACACGGGGGAACAGACTTGGTGTCATTCACATCATCTGTGACACCAATACAGTGATCAGTGCTAATAAAAAGCACTGACACTGTACTAATGGCACTGGGCAGGAAGGGGTTAACATCTGGGGTGATCAAAGGGTTAACTGTGTGCTGTTTTACAATGTGTGCTGTGTTTGTGCTTCACTGCGAGCAAACTGCTTTGCATGGCTGTGCTATGCACAGCCATGCAAAGCAGTGTGCAGGAGCTGACAAGGGAGAACTGTTTTGTTTACTAACAGTTCTCCTACCTGTCTGAGATCCTTGGCAATCAAAGGGCGCCACCGAGTAATCACCGGCCGAGACCCGGTGACTGACAGCCAAGAATGGCGGTGCGAGTAGGGCACCGCTGCTGCCCTGTAGCAGTATTTCTGCTATGGGGCAGTGCTAAAGCAGTTAAATTAACATATTTGTCACACACAGCGTTGGCATACTTAGAATTACAACCTATTTCTCCTGAGTAAGGCAATACCACACGTGTAAGACTTTATCATGGTTTAGACTGATTATATGCCGGATGTTGTATCTTGTGTATTACACAAATCAACTGACTGTGTTAAAGCCAATATACTGTAATGGTTCCTTCTGTATGAATGGTCGGGGAATATAGCTAAGTGTAGCATCACCTACACCAGTCCCAGTTCTTAGCCAAGCAAGTCTAGCCTACTGGTATGTGGCTGCCTCCAAGAATGCCATGTTCAGTGTCCAAAAAGTACAGAAGAATGAAGAAAGGAAGAACAAATGAGTTCTTGTGGTTCCAGGATTGCAGTTGTGCACAGAGGATGGCTGAGACTGATGTCTTGCAGGAACATAGTCAGCAGGATGTGCAGTTGAGTCAGTTCAGTTGGCAGGTAGACTTTGTCAGCGAACAGGCAAAAGATCAGACAAAGCAGCAGGCAGAAACAAACAGGCCAGGGTTAGTACAGACAGCAGGAAGAGGCAACGCTGCACTGATGTGGTGGTGATCAGAAACATTCTTGCTAGCTGTACTGGTCTGATGACAGTAGAACTTGTGTAACAGCAATCAAGAACATTTTCTGGCTTACACTGGTCTGATGACACTGGAAATTAATGTGGCAGTAATCAGGAACACTACTGCTGACTTGCGCTGGTCTGGTGAAACTGGGACTGGTGTGGCGACAATCAGGGACACTGTTGCATGCTTATGCTGATGTGGTGATACTGCGACTGGTTTGGCATGATAAAAAAAACTGTTGCTGGCATACACTGATGCTGCAGCATAGAGGTGAGCATAAATGTTTGGTCTTTTAAATACCCCAAACTTCTCCTTTAAAGCAGACATTGCAGTTGAATTGCAATAACATTTTAACAGAGTAGGGCCCCCTGTCCTCCATCACAAAGAACAAATTTACAGAAAAACAGACAAGGTACAAAAAAAAAAAAAAAAAACAATTCTCATCTTACCCCTGGCTTCTACCCAGGGTCCTAAGTAAATGTCAAATCAATCTTTCAGCAAGATCCTGGGGAAAGCTGAGCATTCTAGCTTTCTACAAAACCAAATCCTGCACCATGCAGAAGCGTCTTATTAAAAGATATGATATATTCAGCATTCTCTGGAAACTTACTGGAAGCAGGGTGAAATCACTGCGTGCTGTACAAAAACCAGTGGAAAGGTAAGTATATGTACTAACTTTTTTTCTCTAGTTTTTTTTGTTCTGTAAACCTTTTTTACAGAAAGATCCTATTTATGCTACCGTGTGATTATTGTAGTTTGTCCAACTGCTGTCACTTGCTGGTCAACTTGGTCTGTAATTGCAAGGGACATATGATATAATATAAATATAGACATTTAACATAAAATTATTATTTCTTAGCATTCATTGAGGAGGATTTCACAGGATTCAGAGACAGTTTCTTTATACTCCTGCCTACAGGAGTGTTTAGATACTAGCAAAAAAAAAAAAAAAAAAAGAAAAACTGGTGACCAGTTTTTCAAAGCCCCACCATTGCCTACACATTTCCGTTTTGTAAAAAACCAATACCAGGAGTAAGATCATAGGCAGAGGGGAATGGGACCTGTGTCCCTCCATGAATTCTAAGAAATCAAGCCCACGCAGCACAGATGTAGTAAAGTGTGCCTTGACAGGTAAGAGTGGAATGGGATCCTTAAAGTGGTTGTAAACATCAGATATGGAATATAAACAAAAGCATATCCCTCTATAGTGTGTACTTGTCTCAATTAAGATCACCAAGTCATTTCTGTCTGCTGCTTCATTACTCTGTTGTCTGCATGAATCACTTCTGAAATGTTTTCCTGACACCAAGAGAAAAAAGATGACATGAGAAGGATCTCCAGCACATTATGATTGACAGCCTTGGCTCTGTTTCTGTGCAGTGTGTGAAGAGGGGTGTGTCCCTTCTCTCCAGTCAACTCTCAGAGCTCTCCTCACTGTGCTCTACAGTGCGCAATTTCAGCTTTCTGCCCTGTTTTCTGAAAGCGCAGACAAGATGTATAAATTTTGGACTTTGAATGGATGTAGAGAAGAGAATACTACAGGTAAACCAGTACAACCTACACAGAAGGATTTGTTTATTCTCTGTGTATAACCCGAGGCCAGTCACTTCACTGGGTATATGTAAGGGTTTACAACCACTTTAAGATCATACATTTGGATTACAATCTGTCTCAGCCACAGGAGGAGTGAGAAGCTGCCTTTCTTTAAAGACGAACCAGCTTACAGAGCAAATAAGGGATTACAGAGAGGGTTAGTCTTTCTAATGGAAACAATAACTTCTAGGCGAATAATCACAGCATGAGCGACACCCAATGAAGGGAAATCTGATTTACTTGAGTCAGACAGGGGGGATGGGGGAAAAATGTATTTGTCTAGGTGTGAATCCAAAATCATCATCAGGAAAGGAGAAGGTTCTGGACATCATCACCACCGTGTAAGACCAGAAATGGTTCTTTACAGGAGAAAGCTGCCAACTCAGACACATGTCTTGTAGAGGAGATGGCGACATAGAATGCAACCTTAACAATAAATGAAAAGCATGCTCAAAACCTCCAACCATAACAATCATGTAACCCACTGAAATGGTGTTAGATGCAATATTTTAAAATGGACATTAGATGGCGATGGCCTGCCATTCAGGGTCATTCACATTTGGCAGAACAGCAATCTGGAACTTGTATGTTGAACAGCAGGACCTGAATGAGGAGCAGGGCACCCCGGGACTGCATTTCCCAGGGGAGGTAGCGTGCGAGTGGGGGCATATAAATATCAAACCTTGGGAGACTGGCCAGGAGAGTCAGGGGAGAAGCTGGGAGAGGAGGAAGTGTGTTGACAGCTGAAGTGCTGAACTAGGCCGCGGAGCCAGAGTTGGAGAAGGAGCGGAAAGAGCCTACTGATCGCCCATCTTCTGCCCATTGAGCCAATCTGTTAGCAGGAGACCAGATGGGATACCGATTTGGAACCAGAGAGTCTGTGTGGGGTCCAAATTTGCAGTAAAAGACGGATCGTTAAGATCTGCCGGACCACATTGATCGGGTGAGAGAGTCTCATTTATCCCCTACTAAGTGAGCACTGATAGTTTCGTCACCTCAGCTATCTACCCACACATAGTTGTGAACATTACATATAGTTGCCCCAGGTTTGCGGCCTAATTCTCTAAGCCACCACTGTTGGGATGCATCTGCATTACAGTCTCATCATCCAAGCTGACTGCAGGACATACAGTTGCAGGCCAGAATATGGCAGTGCCAGGTGAAACAACAAGTTCCCTTTTCCAGCAAAGCGGAATTCCTAATACTGTTGCCTTTGACATCCAGAGAGAGTTGTCCTGGCCCATAGACACTTATACCAATTGTTTCCACTATTTCACGTCTGCATTTTACTTAACGCCTTAAAGATGACCCTGCACTAATTCACTACTAGCAAAAGAAAAAGTGTTAAATCGTTTTTTCCCCCCATTTTTTTTGTGTTACCATTTTGAGGAACTAATCATCTACACCAGGGGTATTGAATTAAAATTGAAGGAGGTCCGGTCACTAAAATCTTCTGGCTGAGGTCCGTAAATAAATGTTCCCATTAGTGTTCCCCCTTTATCAGGTTCCCCTCTAGAGTAATTTATTACATTGGGTGCTACCATCAGACTTCTCCCATAAATCAGTTGCCACCGTCAAAAGTACCCCCTATATCAGGTGTTCCCATCAGAGCGCACCCTTAAGTATTGTGCTCCCGTCAGAGTGCCCCCATACATCAGGCATTCCCATTAGAGTACCCCCTTACATCAAGCATTCCCATCAGAGTGCCCCCTTACATTAGGTTTCTGCATCAGAAGGCCCCCTTACATTTGGTGTCTCCCATCAGTCTGCCCCATTATATAGGGTTCCCCATCCATCACGGTGACACCTTACATAGGGTGTGCCCATCAGCGTTCCCCCTTACATTAGGTGTCACCATTAGAGTGCAACTTTACATCATGTATCCCCATCACATCAAGTGTTTTTTCTCTCAGAGTGCTCCTTTACATCAGGTATCCCCATCACATTGCCACCTTACATCAGGTTATTGCCGTCAGAGTGCCCCCTTACACTCAAAGTACCCCTTTCCATCATATTTCCCCATCAGAGTGCCCCTTTACATCATATTCCCCAACAGAGTGCCCCTTTCCATCACATGTGCCCATCAGAGTGCCCCTTTCCACAGTACGTGCCCATATGTGCCCCCTTAAAATAACATGTGCCCATTAGAGTGCCCCCTTAATGTAAAAGATGCTCAGAGTGCCCGTTAACATAAAATGTGCACATCAGAGTGTCCCTTAACATAAAATAAGCGACATGCTGATGGACACATTTTATGTTAAGGGGCACTCTGATGGGCACATTTATATTAAGGGGCACTCTGATGGGCAAATTTTATGTTAAAGGGGCACTTTGATGGGCACATTTTATGCTAAGGGGCACTCTGATGGGCACATTCTATGTTGTGCCCATCAGAGTTTCCCTTAACATTAAATGTGCCCATCAAAGTGCCCCTTAAAATAAAATAACCGGCATGCTGATGGGCACATTTTATGTTAAGGGGCACTCTGGTGGGCACAATTTATGTTCAGGGGCACTCTGATGGGCACAATTTATGGTAAGGGGCACTCTGATGGGCACATTCTATGTTGTGCCCAGCAGAGTTCCCCTTAACATTAAATGTGCCCATCAGCATTACTCTTTAACATTAAATGTGCCCATCATAGTGCCCCTTAATATAAATGTGACCATCAAGGTCCCCAGAAAGAACACACTCTACCTTGAGGGCAGACAGGAGCAGGAGGCAGCATCTTGCCAGGATCCTTGCTAAAGGGGGCCGGGTGCGTGCTTGCAGAAAGGCAGGGTGTGGAAGCAGGGAGAGACAGTGGGCAAGGGGTAGGGGCATGCATGAAGTCATCAGGATGACCGCCCTGCTGAGCAGCGGATCTGTCATTCTAGACTGGCGGGCTGGCAATCCGGGCAGGAGTGCTGCTCGGGCTGTTCTCAGACCGCGGTCCGCCATTTAGTGACCGCTGATCTATACCTTAATTCAATTTCATACCAACTGGGCCTCAACAGTGCACAGAAGACTCTATAGTATTCTTAAAGGGACATTGATCAATTATAAATAAGAGCTCTATTCACTTCACATTTAATTCCTGTCTAGTTCGGAGGACCCACAGTGAGCTTACCTGTTTGATAGTTGTTCTTGCTCACTGGGGATTCAACAGTGTCCTCAGAATGAAGTCATTGGATTATTTCTAACAGTTACAGGTTATTCACTGCGAATGCTGTTACTTTTACTTAAAATTGACAACAGTGATTATCTTTGCTGAATATACCCATGTTATTCTATTCTTTGACCAAGTTACATTCAATGCCAATATAAACTTCATATATATGTGCAAAGTGGTTGGGACTAAAACATGTAGAACTGCGGCATTTCATTTTTCACACAAGATTCTACACTGGCCCCCTCATGGAGCCCTGAAATATTGTTTTGGGAATGGACTTTCATTTCACACAAGATTGTTTATGGAGCCCTGTATATCCCTTTGGGAGTGGGCTTTCATTTCTATTATATCATTGTTTGATTTATACTGAATATGCCTTTATTTTCCAACTATATTGGTGGTTTTATTTATTGATGCTGGTATTATTTGTATCACTTTATTGTTTGCTTTCATTGTAATGTTTATGGCCAGAGGTTTTGTTCACTCTGTTTATTATTTGTTTTTACCGTATCCTGAACATAGTGTGCAGCATTACCCTTAGCACCGAGTGCATAATTATTTGGTGGTTGATAGAACGCAACCTTGTAAGAACATAAAATGAGAATATCACTTTTAGATTCAAAGGGTGATTTTTGAAGTACAGGGAGAACCAAATTTAAATCCCACGGAGCCACAGGTGCACACAAAGCGGCTACATGAGAGACATCCTGTACAAGTCTTTATTAAAGACTAGGAGGCTAGAGGTCTCTGGAACAATACTGCAACTACCCAAGCACTGATGCTTGATGGCAACAGGGCCAAATGTTAATCCAAGCCAGATTGCAAGAAGTTCAGCATTCATCCCATAGAGTATCACCTGTAATGAAAGTTTCTTTCCTTACACCAATTGAAGTATGCCTTCCATGTGCGATGGTACAAGTTGAAGTAAGTGAATTTGCTATCTTTTAATATGATAGGAATCCCTGATTTGAGGAGTTCCTGCCCCTCAAGAACTATGCTTTAACAGCCAAGCAGTTAAAGCCAACGATCATGAAGCAAAATATGAAACTGGTACTTGGGACAAAAGATCCTGATGATCTGAGGGAACCCATAGAGCAGGGGTCCTAAAACTATGGCCCGCGGGCTGGATACGGCCTGCCAAAGATATTTATCTGGCCCACCGGCCCAGCCAGGGAAAAAAAAAAAAAAAACAGTGCAGCCTGCAACCCCCAGATTTCACCTGCTGCAGCCAGAGGAGCAACAGGGCAGGAAAGGAGGAGAGCGCACCAGGTACAGTGCATTGCGGTGTCCAGTCAGTTACAGAGTACAGTGTATTTTGGTGTTCAGTGTATTACAGTGTACAGTGCATTGCGGTGTCCAGTCAGTTACAGAGTACAGTGCATTGCGATGTGCAGTGCATTACAGTGTACAGTGCACTGTGGTGTCCAGTGCATTAGAGTACAGTACATTGTGATGTCCAGTGTGTTACAGTGTACAGTGCATTTTGTTGTCCAGTGCGATACAGTGTACAGTGCATTGCAGTGTACAATGCATTGCGGTGTCCAGTGCGTTACAGAGTACAGTGCATTTCAGTGTCCAGTGCATTACAGTGTACAGTGCATTGCGGTGCCAAGTGCGTTACAGTGTACAGTGCATTGAGGTGTCCAGTGCGTTACAGTGTGTTTTGTTGTCCAGTGCATTACAGTGTACAGAGCATGGCAGTGCCAAGTGTGTTACAGAGTACAGTGCATTGCGGTGTCCAGTGCATTACAGAGTACAGTGCATTACAGTGTACAGTGCATTTTAAATATTGTATTTTTTTTCCTGTTGATTGCACTACAAATAAGATATCTGCAGCATGCATAGGAATTCGTGGAGCGTAGGGACACAGCAGCGCTGTTTTTCAAAACAAACAAAATTCAACAGAAGGTATACACAAAAATTGTGACAAGAATGAAAGTGCTCTTGTGGTGAGCTTTTCCCCCTAGGAGGATCCTTTGCTGGTTTTGCATAGCCCTGACCCTGGAGAAGTCCGGTATCTATTTATGGCTTCCTGAGACCCCCCCATAAGGATCAGCATTAACGCTATTTACAAGTAGTGTTCTGGTGAGTGCACATCCATATAAGGTGGTGGATTCCCATTGGATTATGAGCACTCTCTAGCATCCCAGCTGATATTGCTGCATTTTGTAGTTCCACGATCACCGGGCTTTGCTGTGACCACAGACTATTTATTATCACTATTATTGCTGATAAGCACACACGTACTTTTTGGCACTTCTGTGACCTGTAGTGCCACGGACTATTTATATTCACTGTTTAAGTTCAGATTTTCAGAACTTTTATGAGTCTATCATTTTATATGATCTGAGATGTTTATTAGATATATGTCACTTGAATATTGTATGGTACACTTTTATTCACGTAAGCACTTTATGATTCCATTTGTTTTAGCACTGCACTTACATTGAAATTGACTACTGTCAGTTTGTTACCTTGCCTTTTTGCGCTAGCAGCTACCTTATTATCTACGCCTTATATCTTGTGTTATATTTGTGCATAGGAATTTGTTCATATTTTTTTCAAACTATAGTCCGGCCCCCAACCGTGTGAAGGTCCGTGAACTGGCCCCGATTTAAAATGTTTGAGAACCCCTGCCATAGAGCATCTGCTAGGAGTCTGGTCAGGTTGGAGTACCACATCTGCCTGAGCCATTCCTGAGCTATGATTACCATCAGAATGCCCTTTACTTCAATCCTGTGAAGCAGACAAGGAAGGAAATTAAGGGTGTAGATCAGCTTTTGTTGATCCCATGAAACCACTAGGGCATCCACTGTTTCTTCCAGAGGAGCTCTACATCTATAGACAAACTTGTCCACTTTATTGTGGAAACTCAGGCCAGAATGTCCACATCTAGTGTCTCCCATCTGTGACATAGGTCCTAACCAGGGGCGGACTGATAACTTATGGGGCCCCCGGGCAATGGGGGATCCTATTGATTGGCCCCTGTGTCCTTGCCCAAACTAAAAAAAAGCCTATGAAAAAGGTACCAGGGACATCTCATGGGGCCCCCTACTGACCATGGGCCTTCGGGCACTGCCCGAGTTTCCAAATGGTCAGTCTGCCCCCTGTTCCTAACATACCCTCGGATGTAGGGCCCCTTATCCTGTATGCAAATGCTGACGGCTTAGGATGTCTGCCTGCCTGTCCATCCCTGAGATGTAAACAGCAGACAAGGTTGGACTGTGATGTGAAGTTCTGCTCAAAACAGAATCCTTTCCAATTTTTGGTTCCGCCCCCCCCCCCCTTATGGTTGGAGTATTGCACTGCTATGCAGTTGTCTGACTGGATCCTGATTGAAATTGCTCTTCAGTCTGGATGTCCAGCACTGTTAGAACAATCAAACCATTTGGACTCCCAGAATGTTGGTCTAGAGATGGAATTATTCAGGAGCCAAGTTCCCTACACCAACCATTTGTCTAGGACTGCTCTCCAGTCCAACAGATTAGTATCTGTCACAGAGATCTTCCAAGAGATTGAGAGTAAGGATTTCCCTCGCTCCAGAGCTTGTTCCTGAGATACCAGACCACAGACACCCTGGTCCTTCTTGTTAAGTGAATCTGTTTATCCAGAGATAGAGAGAATGTTAATTGTATGATTCTGGGGTGGGGACTGGTCAAAACAGGACAGCTCTGAAGGAGGCTACCATCAACCCCCACACTGTCATTCAGAAACAAAGAGTTCGGTAACTTCTGGACTGAACAGATCTGGGAGTGGAGAGTTTTAAAGTTTCTCTGAAAGAAGAAAACCTCTGGCTTAAGCTGTGTCTAGGATAAGACACAGATACTCCAAGATGTGAGCTGTCTCTAATGCTGACATTTGACGGTACAGGATCCAATTTAATCTATTCATGGTCTGAACCTATGCCAACTACTCCAACAGAAGATCATCCAGATATCCCACAAAGAGGATGCCTTCAGAGTGTAGCAAGGCAAGCATAGGAAACCAGCTCCTCATTAAGCCTGTAGCGTATAGAAGACAGGACGAAAAGCAGGGCAATGAACTGGAGGTGCTGGGGGCCCACAGCAAAGCTAAGAGAGTGCTGATGTAATGGAGAAATGAATCAGATGCCTCCTTTTGGTTTGGGGATTATGAAAAAGTTGGAGCAGATACCCTGCCATA